CCCCCCCCCCCCCCCCCCCCCCCCCCCCCCCGCCCACTATGCCTAGTCCTCACAGCCAGGCCAGATTCCCAGGCATTTTCAAACACGAAAAATCTGAAGCTGTATCATCAATCGTGCCCTCAAACCCCAAGTAGTACATCATCTGTCCTTCACCCCTGTCATATATCACCTTCCCAGCAGAAATAACTCAAAGTTTTCCTCTAGCCATGAACTTGAATATTCTGGATTCTTAAGGAAGTTGAATAGGGAGAAAGGATTCCTTCCCCTCATCAATTGTCGATGCTAGGAGTGTATGACCATGCGTGTGGGTGTGTGCAGGGCAGCTGAAAAAGGAGGCCTTTACATGAAAAAGACCCCATCACCAGTGGAAACTCCTCATGAGAATGGAGCCCGGGCTCTGGGACAGGTGCTTTTCCAGAAACCACCTACCTCTGAGGGCTGGAGGCAGGGGGATTAGGTGTCGAGTGAAAACTTGGTTTGGGTGTTCTTTTGAGTTCAGTTAGTTGGAAAATTAAGACAAGAGATCCCATCTGGTCAGATCTCAACAGAAGTCAACTTAAGAGCCACCTCTGGCTCTGACTCTTTTTAGAAACTTACAAGGCCTAAGTAGGCGTCTTCCGGGGAAACTTCAGATGTAGTACTTGTGGAGGTAAGGGGCTTTACATGACATTTATATAGAGGTTTCTATTTATCAGAGGTTTGAGCTCTAGACATGACTGTCTTCGTTTACCTGTCATGTGGGTGTAAGTTATTTACTTACGAGTACCTTCCCGACATTTTTCGAGCAACCACAAAGATGATCCCACCAATGAAGCCGATGGCTAGTAAGACCCCAACTATGATTCCAACTAGGGTCACTGTTGCCAAACCATCTGAATGAGAGGGGAAAAAAGCATGAGCTCCAGATAAAAGATACCCTGAGATCAAACATGTCATGTATAAACAGTGCCACTGCCCTATTGTATACAGCCAGTGATGATCTATGTTTTCTTCCATATCCAGTGGAAGTTGACTTACAAAAGGAGAAACTTGGGGCTACTCTAATCCCATCTTGGAAAGATTTCTGGATCTCAGGATCTATCAAGCATAATATTCACTGGCTTTGCTGCTAATTATTGAGTAGTGCTTGTGTATGGCTATTAATTAAATCGTCCCCCATTTTCATCCTTAGTAACAATAAATTATGATATGATAACATTCTCCCTCACTGTCATTAAGTGAATAGACTCATTTGTGGTTTTCTTATTTTCAAATACAGGAAATTCCCTTTTCTCTCTTAAAAAAACAGGTTTGAAATCTGTTCTTAGAAGGTTTTCTATTCTGTTCTTGTTGACTACAATCCAACAAAGAATGTAATTCATCTATCTCAAAGATTAGGTTCAAAGAATTTTTTTAAAACTATCACAGGAATATTCCGATACCAAAATCTCACCTACCTTTCTCAATTGTTGTCTGTGTCTCTCCACCCACTTTCTCTATAAAGAGAGAGGAAGTAGTGATATAGAATTATTAGGACTTAATAACTATAATTTAATAATTGGCAAAAGATGAATTTATCTGAAGTGGAAAGTAGCAAAACATAAGCAAAGAGGATAACTTCTTAAATAAATTGGAT